AACTCAGGTTGGGTCTACAACACTGAGTTTGGAAAGAAAAAAGCTGTGGTGGGCTCGAGTTCGTTCTTCATGAAGAAATCTGCTAGTTGGAGCTCAGAGGGCACGAACTGGAGAACCACAATCCGGTCTTGCACCTGCGATCGCCTGTAAGAAGCATCCACACCAATGTGCTTGGTGAGCTCATGCTTCACAGGATCACGAGCAATGTTGGTTGCGCCGGTGCTGAAGAGAGAGGAGCCGGTGCAGTAGTAGAAACCCCAAAATCATCAAGAAGCCACCGCAACAAAGTGACCTCAGTTGTCAATGCTGCCATAGCCCTCAACTCACCCTCAGCACTCCAACAGGAAACCGATGTCTGTTTCTTAGTCTTCCGGGCAATCAAAGATGAACCAAGAAAAACACAATAGGCTGAAAGGGATCAACGATCACCATGATCACTAGCCCACGTGGCGTCAGAATACACCTGAAAGCTCCAAGGAACTCGAACAAGGAAAGAAAAGGTGGCGAGAGGAGATGCCATGAAGATATCGTAGAACCCAAAATTGGTGGAAGTACTGAAGCTGAGTAGGAGCCGAAACAGACTGGCTCAAAATGCAGACAACATGAGAGATGTGGACAAAAGAAGGGGGCCTGCTAGGCACCATCCAGCTGTAAAACGCCAGTTAACAGCCGCCTCCCCAGCCATCCGATCTGGACGTCTCGAGCAACCGGATGAAGCGACAACGAGCTTTCTCCTAGTACTCTCTATCACAGTCGCAACACATGATGCACGTAGCAGGGCTGTTAGCTTCTTTCTTCCCTATCGCAAGCCAACATCCGTCATAGAACCAGCGTCACCGCGGCAACGTCGGACACATCGTCCTCGCCGAAAGGGCGACCTCCGGATGCTGCAATACAAACATCGTTGTGGCCGTCGCAGCATTACCTTCACGCTTTGCTGGCCGACCAGCATCGTAGTAGCAGTTCTGCCCACTCCTCAACAGCATCGCCGCTCGGTCGCCATCCATCGTAGCATCGCTCAGCACGCCGCCGACCGCCGTCGCAGTCACCCCGCAGCATCGTCACGCGAACATAAACGCCTTGGCGGTCGACGTCGCAGCATCCTGATGGTCATTGATGCCGTCGCAGCACGCCTCGTCGCTATGGCCGTCAAAGTATCACCGCGGTCGTCAATGCCGTCGCAGCATGCCTCGTCGAAGTGGTCGTTGAAGCATGTCATGCAACATCTGGTAGTCACCTCGCAGCACCGGCGCTTCCTCCAGCAAGCGACCTCGCAACATCCGATGCTTCCAACGAGAGGCCTCGCAGCATACAGTTGTCTCTTCTTAGCACCGGCGCTCCCGCCAGCATGCGTCATTGCAGCATGAGATGCTTCTGGCGAGTGGCCTCGCAGCATCAGATGCTTCCGGCGAGCGGCCTCACAACATCTCAGGGAATCTCCCACCCAGCACGGGCGCTCCCCTCGCCGTACAACGCCGCTGGCCTCACAACATCCTGCCATCATAACTTATTCGTCCTCCGTCACAGCATCACCAGCTTGCAGCATCGACACCAGCCTGCAGTGCTTGCTCGCAGCAGCCGCCCCGCCGTTGCAGCACTGACGACGTAGTTGCTTGCAGCGTTGACGCCGACTTGTAGCACCCGCTCGGGGCAGCCATGGTGGCTCAACACGCTGCACCTACCCCTCACAACAACGCCGCCCGCCTTTGCAGCACCGGCGACGATGGGGATTGCAACACCGGCGCCCGTCTACAGCATCGACATCCATCGGCTGATCGGCATGCCGCATCTCCCCCTCACGACATCGCCGCTCGTTGTCACAACACAGGTGACGATGGCGTATTGCAGCATCGAGGTTGTCTCCGGCGTGAAGCATCATGGCGCCGCCTTGCCGTAGTGGTGGCAGCATCGCCAGGGCGAAAGGGAGAGCAAAGAAATCCAGATCGGAGAGGATGTGCTGGTTGACTCGTGCCAAAGAAAGATATGGCTGAGAGTAGTCGGTGGAAAAGATAATTAGGAAAGAGAACGTGGTGCCCGGGCCCAGGGGACACGTGGGGCACAAAGGAGGCGGCTGATGCGTGATTGATATACGTCCGGCTGAAACAGATCAGTTTCCCAAAAAGAAGTGGTTGAGGCAATGGCTGAAGCAGAGGCGGTGGAGCTGGTCGACTAGTTAGCAAAGGAAGTAGAAGGAAGGTACAACCAATCAAGTTCCCATAGGCCCCGAGAGTCACGTCTCCTAGGACCAGTCCCCACCAGAAGTCCTGTGCATCGATCCTGAGCACACCAGGAGTCAGATTCAGGAATAATACGACAAGCATGATCAACGATTTGACCGGCTGGCATAAGCTGCATAGTCAATTTGGGAACATGAGACATAGTGGGAACATTAAAGACGAAGTAGAAAGAGTGTCGTGTCCAACAACGGGAAGTGAGGTGCCATCGGGCATCGGCTGTGTGAACACGGAGACGTGCATCAGGAGGACTGAGTACAGTGAGACACGAAGAGTCTGGTATCGTGTGAAAGGAAGCACCAGTCAAGAAACCATGGAGATGATATACCAGGAGGAGGTGGTGGTGCGGAACCACAAGCACTAGAAGCAGACCTGTATGGCGAGGACGAGGCAGAGGCAACCAGTCGACGAAACAAAGCAATAATCTCCTGCTCAGTGGGGGGATCTGCTGAGGGCCTGGCTGAGAAGAGTCGATAGGAGGGGTCCTGGATGGAGATCGAGAAAGGGAGGGGTAGGCCACGCCTAGGGCAGCTCGACGCCGGCAGCCATACAACAACCCAGGGGTGGCAGCTGGGAAACCCTATCCTGTCTGATATCATGTTAGAGTGTGATGAAATGGACCTTAGTATTGCTATGGGCCAAACAGGCCAGATATATACAAGGTACATATGTACATATACCCCATAGAAGGAAATAACTACACAGCTACACAGCACTATTACACTTGACATGGAAAACATACTACACCACTCTGCTGGTTCAACCAATATACGCAAAATGCAAACATGTATATTTTTCCAACAGAAATTCAAGCCAAAGTGTTTAGTAATAAGAGATAAATACAGAAAGTATGCAATACATGCATAAATACTTCAATTTGTATAGTAATGAGAAAATGTAATCGCAGCCACGAAAATAGTGGAAGCATGGGGGTATGCTTAAATATTGGCTTCTTTTGCTCTAGAATACCGAGGAAAAGAAGTATTGTACAGCATGTTTAAGAACAAGGCAGCCGCTAGAGCATCCTTGAAAAAGTAGAGTACCTTCTAACAATAAAACCATTACACAAAATACAATGGAACTACAGCCGTATAATTTTCTGTGTAGAAGTAATTTGCACTGAGTTAAATAATAATTTACAATACAACAAACCTAAAAAAATTATAGAGACTAGACTAAGAACTTAAAGTTGTTCTTCTCAAGATATTTTCAACCGTTCAAATATCCAGGGGTGGAGCCAGGATTTAGACATAGGGGGGGTTCTGATAGTTAACACATGGATCCCATTGTTTTCTCAAAGAATCAAATAGACTGTTTTTTCTCATCACGACTACACACACCCATGCACAGTTGATAACAGGTTAAATCTAAATGGTAGAATCATTGCATCATTCTGATTTGCGGTATCAAATTGCGAGGATAAAACAAAAAATTGCTGCACGTGATTAATTTCATCTAAATCATAGAAATTGCAGCAATACTAATCCATCTATATCGATAAATCCTAGCGCCGACGAAGGAGCGACTGACCGTAAATTGTATCGCACAGAACAAATAAACAAATACTGACGACCCAGAACATATGAATGAACCTGAAATTGCAGCAATACTCATCCATCTATATCGATAAATCCTAGCGCCGACGAAGGAGCGACTGACCGCATAGAACAAATAAACAAATACCGACGACCCGGAACATATGAACGAACCTGGAGCGGTTGATGCTTGGCCACTTATCCATCTAAATCTTATCGCACAAAACAAATAAGCAAAGAAGCGATTGACCGCAAATTTTCTAGGATGTCGTCGTGGTTGCCGGATGCGGCCTAACAACTTTGGCCGTCGGTGTTGATCGGCTGCGAGGCGCCGCGCCGCCCCACCATTTTCCAACCGGCGAACTGCCCGCCGCTGCGAGACGTGTGTTGGGATCGAAATAAACGATAATCTGTCATTAGTATCATTGACCAAGCCGCCTGTTTGCCTTCGATAGTGGTGGGTGGACTACTATGGAGTACAAAGGTTCAATACTGGGCTGGCTAGTATATGGGCTGAGTTGTTGAGTTGGGCTACGTTATTGCTTGC